TAATATTATTATTATTATTATTATTATTATTATTATTATTATTATTATTATTATTATTATTATTATTATTATTATTATTATTATTTTCAGTGCAACATTTAGATATACAATTCTTCCACATTATATATATATATACATACAAAAGAAAATAATTTATATTTTTTTGGTTCTTCAATTACTTTCAAATATTATTTTGCATACATAATATACTCCTAGAGCTATATGAATATTTACGTATAGTGGTCATAATAATAGCAATATTCAGGTTCCACAGAGGCCTTTTTCTATATTATAACGCATAAATAATAATTATTTGTTTTCATTATATACATAGTTAGTGCTTGTACAGTACTGTTACTAAGTTTTGTCCTCGTAAATATTAAGTGAATTAATTTTCTTTTCTTTTTTCCTTTTTCCTCTACTTAAGACAAATCGTATACAGCATTAGTTTGAACAAAAAAGTTTGTTCATCTTTTGTATTCAGAAATTATATCATTTTAGTATCAGATAAAATGTATCATCTTATAATTGATATCATTTAAAGAACACATAAATGGCCCTAAATCTGATCTGAAATATAGTAACTCTGTATATAAACATATATATGTAAATTTATTTTACTTTACGTTATATATATCATATATCATTGTTAAGGACAAAATTTGTAAACAGTAATGTACTGCTAATTCTTCATTTTAAAAGAACTCGTTTCTATATTCTGACAAAATGTAGAGCAATTGCGATAAAATAAAAATGAATAAATTATAATACGTTGCAAGCATATTCTCGAAATGTATAAACAAAATAATAAAAAGTGTGTATTTTAGATTTTCGGCCTCGATGTATAATTATAAAATTTATAAAGTTCCAACTTTTGTAATGCGTTGTAAATATTGAGAATTTTAGAAATAACAAGGAAAGTTCTTTTTGTGTCATTAGAATATTTTTAGATTTATTTTATTTTCATCGGTAAAAATATTAAGTATTTTATAATGTAATTCAATAGAATTTCTTTTTAATTTACAACAATTTATACATATATACATATAAAGATATCTAACATTTTATATGATTAACGTTACAAATACTTTCCAATATTGGATACCTAATGATAGAGGGATATTCAATAATAGTTTACTGTACATTAAATACCATTATTAGATTTAAATTACGTTATTATTATTATTATTATTATTATTATTATTATTATTATTATTATTATTACGTTTATAATTATATTATCTTGATCATCGTCATTATCATCATATTCATGAAATAATTAATCTCATTGCAGTCATCGCATCTTTGTTTAAGGCTTGTATCGTTTAAGTTTATGACCTGTTTTTCAGAATTATATTAGAGAGAAAAATGAAAATAAAAAAAGAAAAATATTGTCTAAAAAAAAAAAAAGAAGAAAAAAAAGGTGGTAATATTCGTGCGTGGCGCGAATGTATTTTTCGAAAATGTATCAAATATATTTGTAAATTGTAAAAAATAATTTAGTACAGGAGTGTGTTGTAAAGTGGCTATAAGAAGGAAAAAGAAAGAAAAAAAGAAACCAAGCAATGTCTAGCAAGCTTTAGGACACATTTCATATATTGTATCAAAACATAATTATTGTATCAGTGATAGAATCATAAAGAGGTACATTTGAGATGTATTATAAATTTATTGGAGGATTTATTATATTGAAAATCTAAGATGCAGGGCATTTGGACCCAAAAACTAACTAACAAATAGAAACAATAAAAAGAACTTGCTACAAGGATACATTCATATAAAGATATCTTTTTTCTGACGAAATGTGCCATGCAATAATTCATATTGCAAAGAAAAAACAACAACAAAATGCAGGTGTTGTATATAAAAATCATCGTACGGGGATGAATAGATTTTTTTTAAATAAACGAATATAAAAATGATAATAGATGTAAAGAAAAATTTCTCGACAAAAATTTAATTAGACGATCTTATTAAATTGTATAAAAATATTCTAATATCGTATATAGTACCTGCCCAATGATCAACATACTTTCATCATTGCATACGATATTAAACTATTCATATTTATATATATATATATATATATATGAGAGACCTTTTTTTAAAGCGATGGTTATGAACTTTGTTTATTATTAAATATTATGTAAAGCTTTCTATATAGGTTTAGTTCATCATACAGTTTGAATTATAAAAAGTTTTTTTCAATACTGCGAAGTCGTGTAGTATTTTCTGTTATCTTGATCGAAGTATAAAAATATATTATATAGTAGAATATTAATCACATAATTTATGTTTTTATTAATCATTTTTGAATAAAAGACATACAGTTAACATACGCTTGCTTGTGTGTGTATATATATATATATATATGCATAGAATTTTTACATAGCAAAATCTTGATATAACTTATAAAATTATATTATCTACCTTAAAACAATGATCTCTTTTACATAAATTACAATACTTTATGGTAATTCATTAAAAAGAGATTAGTAAAAAGATCATATTTATGTGTATAGCAAATTGTTTGAAAAAGTTGAATTTGAAATATATCGAAATCCTATAAAATGCGCGCGGCGATATATCGAACGATGTGTCTCGATATACTGCACGTAACAATTATACACGTACGTGGTTAATAAATTTTTAACAAGACGTTTCGAACAAGTTTATTCAAAAGTTATTTAATTAGATTAATAATAAATGATAAATATGATAAAATGGACAATAAGATAGGGAAAAAGTAAAAAACTAACAATTGTTGGTTATAAGAAAGAGTCGGAGAAAGGTAAGCAGCGTGAAGTTAGCAGTGCGCATGCTCATATTCTCCCTCCATAGTGCACTAACCACTCCGAAGTAACAGCACGAGGGTCCCTTCCTTTTCCCCGCTCCTCTGGGATTTCGTCTTCATTCCATTTTTCAGTACGTGTAGTTAACTCGAGGATGCCTTCCGCGAATCCAAAATTAGAAAAGCAGCAATCTGCGGAGCCCGTAGATTGTGTACGGCAAACGATTACAGTAATCGAACATAAGATACGAAATCTAGAAAAACGCAAGGTTAGTAATTAAAGTAATAAAGTATCGATATTTAGTATCAAATCTACCTGTCAAGGCGGCTTCTATCGTGTAATCCGCCATGTTTCTTTGATGCGCCATGTGCTTCACGTTAGAAAATTCGCCGATATTAAAATATTATTCTATCAGTAGTATTTCTTTATTCTTTATATAATTAATTAACGAATCATTCAATATTGGTCATTTTTACAGAAGATTTTTATCATTTCCTGACGTATAAAATATAATTCCGTTGTTTCAAACCTCGTGTCATGGCGGTACCTTATTAGTTGCATCAAAACTTCCTTTCCGTAATTTACCTTAACACTTTCTCTTTTTACACCTTCATTCTTAATTTATCTTTTATTTTATTTGGCTATTTTCTAACGAAAAATTTCGATTTTTGTCTGTATATGTTTCATGCCTTACAGCTCTTAAATTAGGACAAAAATATATATTTACATATATATTGTCCATTTCTCGCGACATTTTTTTTTATCTCCACGCACCGGTTTCTTCATACTGCATTTCTTGTAATACTTTAATAGTCCGTTCAATTGAATAATATAATTTTATTTTAGCTTGTGTGTGTGTATTTTATTTATTTAAATTGTTTTCTTTTTTTTTTTTTTCAAGCAGTCCGAAATATATACATTTGGAACGGACGAAAATTTATCGCGGATTATATATTCTATTGTTATTCGTCTCGTGTTTTTCTTTTAGTTTTCATTTTTTGTCATTTTTTGTCATTTTTTGTCATTTTTTGTCATTTTTTTTATAAAGAAAAAAAATTGTTTGTCTTTAGGGTAAATTGGAGTCGTACAGAGACCTCCAAAAGAATGGAAGGGAATTGAATGCGGATCAGACCAAGGCTGTAGCCAGATACGATGGAGTTTTGCAATCTTTGGAAACTGCTCGCGAAATACATAAACAAGTCGTTGGCGTTGCCAATGAATCAGTCAAACAACAGAAAAAATTGGCACGGAAAGAGGCAGCAGAAAGGACACAACAAGATATTGCTAAAGTAAAAATCTCATTGATCTTACTATATGCTTAACAAGTTAAAGAATTGATATTTTTTACAATATTTTCTAATAATTCTAATCCTCATCATTTTGACAATTTAGGTTAGAGAGATATTACTGATACAAGATATTATGACGAGTATGAGTATAAGTACTGTACGAGAAGACTTTCTATCTGGTACAAATGGAGCTATACAAATTTCTAATGAAGAATTAAAATACATAGACGATCTGTATAAGGAAATAATGATGAAGCATAAGCGTGAAGAGGGAGAACCAACGATTGTCCAACAAATTCAAAAAGCTGCTGAACATTATGTGGCAATTGTTGATGGTAAACAAAGAGAAGTGGCTGGAACAACTTATAATAAATTAAAAGAAATCATTAATTCCATACATCAGTCTGGTTACTTTGATCAGACTCATGCCTCAGAACCCACAGTCGAAGAAGTAAGCAAGTATACCTATTCAAGTTCATGTAACATTAAATATTCTATTCAATTAAATTAATTAATGTTTATTTGAATTAATTTTAATTGTATTCATCATGTTCGTTACAGAACAATGACACTAGTACGGAAACACAAGTAACGACGACGGATACTTCTGTGCCAGAACAAGAAGAGTTTAATAACAGCGAAAGGCACATTCCACCCGAATCTATAATGCCAATTCCTAGCTTTCCAGTTCAGGTAGCTCCTCTTCCTGTAGTATCGGGCACTGCTCCAGTTACTGGCCCAATATCAGTTGTACCCCAACCAATTCCACCACATCCAACTGCGCCCGTTGAACCATCATATTATACAAATGCGACTGGATTTGTACCACAACCGCAACCACAACAACAACAACAACAACAACAACAACAACCACCACCACCACCACCACAACAACAACAACAACAACAACAGCAGCAGCAGCAGCAGCAACCACCAACACAGCCACAACAACCTAGAATTAATGATGTCATTGGGACACCAAATTTTTTCTTTTTACAAGAATCTGAACTTGATTCGCCAGATGTCACATCCCAAAACCCTATCGTATCACACATTCCTGCAGTTAATGCACCTATACCTTCACAAACGTTTACAAATCAGAATTTTACAAACGCAACTGTTGTACCCCAACAGGTAATATATCAGCATCAACCATCACAAGACATGTCACACATTCCTGGATTTTCAAATCCCAACCCACCACCTCCCATACCAATGCCACCATCACATCAACCAAATATACAATTTAGTCCACAACATCCTGCTGGTTTCCAACAACAAGCTGCATCTCAGCCTATTCCAGCACCAGGGCCGAATTTTGAACCATCACCTCAACAACAACAAGATGGCCAAGAAAAACACACAGAAGTACGTACATAATATCTAATATAAATATATTACAATTCGTATATTACATTTAAATTGGAAATAAACATAAATAATAATATATAAATATATATGATACAGGAAACAAAAGTAGTAGTAGAACAACAGGAAGAGCCAGTTGCTGTGGAAGTAGAGGTTGCAGATCAACAACAACCGACGAGCAGCGGCGGCGAGTCTTTTGATTGGGTTCAATTAACAGAACCTGTAGATTGGAATCAAGCAGAAACAGCACAACCGCCAATTCCAGACACACAACAACAACAGCCACAGCAACCACCACAAGCAGCTCAACAAGCATGGAGTGGATACAGAGGTCGAGGTGGAAGGAGAGGTAATTCAAACGGATACAATGGAAGAGGCAGGGGTGGTTATCAGCAAAATGGCCGCGCAGGACAAGGTAAAAAATAAAGCATTATTAGTAGCATTATTTATATTTATTTATTAACACGAGAAATATATTTTGATGATTTGAAATTGTTTGCTTTATGTAACAATGAATAGCTTATTACCGCAATGACAGTAACTATCAAAATGGTTACCAACAACGGTCCTGGGCAAATGAAGGAAATGGATATAATGGAGGATTTAAAAGAGGAGGAGGCGGCAACACAAGAGGCGGTCCTCGAGGTGAACGGGGAATGGATAGGGGAGGACGAGCGGGGGGACAATTTCGAGGTCAAAGAGGAGGAAATCGTGGTGGTGGTGGTTATGCACCTCGCGGTAAGCCACAACAGGCACAACAGTAACAACTAAACGATAGAATTAATGCACAGTAAAATGTTATATTAACGCTCTAAGATCACTATTCAATTGTCTATTTATGAAAAAACCTAAGTCGGCACAAATACATCATCTTCGGCATACTCGGAGCACGTGATGTATTCACAAATAGATATCATCAGCATAAGTATATACATGTATAATGTACGCAAAAGCGCGATCTCTAGAAAAAAGAAACAGAATCTTTGATATTTAATGTTGCATTATACACTAGGTTTATCATGTACAAAGAAAGCGCGCGCGCAGTATGACTTTTTATTTATAGTAATATAGTAAGATATAGATGTAATGGGGAAAAAAGTTATTCCATAACTTTCAAACGTTCTCCTAGTGTCGTCTTATTCTTATTTCACAATAAGTTGTTGTAATACACACATGCTGGTACTTATGCATCTGGCTTAGGATTGTTTCTTAAATAGGACGATGAATAACATAACTCTGCATTTGAATTTGGTATTTATAATTATTGAAAGAAAACAAATTCCATAACATTAACATTAATGTATAGAAAAAGAAAAAATGAAAATGTAATATTGTGATATATAAAAAAAGAAAGAAGAGATAAGATGAAGAAGATCAACCAAATTCATTGAAGTGTGAACCTACTATGCAAGTATTATTGTGTTGTAACAAAAAGCAGCAGATTTCATAGGGCAACAAATGTTTAACAACTACATAAATATATAAAAAGTATAATAATAATTTTATTATAAAAAGAATGACAAGAAAAAAAAAATATGCGAGAACTCATATTACACACGTATTTCATGGAAACAGAAGAAGAACGTATTTAAAAATGTAATTATAAGACGATTAAAAAAAAGAATAGGAACGATCTGCTAGACTAATTTCTTTGTCCTATGGCGCATCGTTCTAGAAGATTTTTTAAGATACCAGAAAAAAAAAGGATACAGAGAATGCCTTCTAGTGATAAACTTCTAGACTCTATTCCAATTCCGGTCTACGAATTTGAAGCATTTAGATTAAATGTTACTGAGATTTATAGTCGTAAAATGGATGAGGATACGTTAATTTATAAAAATGTTTAATCATGGATGAGTTACGTGATTCCTCTTCCGAAGATTCATATTGTTCTCCCTTTCTTCTATTTATAAATATATATATATTTTTTTCTTTTCTTGTTCTTTATTCCATTTTTCAAAATTTTATATGATACTCTTTATTACAAAATCGACAATAGTGTTATTAACAAAACACATAACTGTGTGCGATGTCGATGATTGAAAATGCATGATTAGTTGATTCTTTATTTTGGAAAGTAAACAATTATTATTCATATTATTTTGTAAAAAGAAACAAATATTAAGAGCTTTGAATGTATAATTATTTATAAAAGGTTATACTTGTAAAGTACGCCTTTAAAAAAAAAAAAACTGCGTTTTACATATTGCGCTATGTATGCGTTATGAAAAGTACTGTATTTCGTTTAATCATCCCTAATCTACAGTTACATTTTTATTATCCTATCAATACCTGTGTATCTTCCAAATAAAGATCTAATTCAACCCTGCTAATTAGCCTATCTTATCACGTAGCTTAAAATGAAGGCATTTCGTCATTACATCTGTTCTTAAAAAAAAAAAAAAACAAAAAAAAATATACAAAATTAAAAACCAAGTAATAACGTGTTTAATTAATAGCGTAAACGATATCATCAATCTTGTATATCCTATTGCAATGTCTTTATACGTACAATTGTTCTTTCAATATAGTAGTTCAATACTGTATATTATATTGTTCTTACAATTTCAGCGTTTTTTAATGTTAATTGCAACACGTTACTATATTTTTAAAATAAATATTAAACTAAATCAAACTATATAGAGTGTATATGTTAACCGTGAAAGATCGAAATTTGATAATGTCAAGATTCACATGGTAAATTGTCAACACATACCAAAATATTTGGGTTTATTCTTATACATTAATATTTCGACATACTCCAAGTGATCATGTGAATCTTGACATTTTCTAATTTCGATTTTTCACGGTACATATACATATATTTGATCGATGGAGCTTTTATCTTTTGTGTATATATATATATACACGATTAAGCATCGGTTGTTTTCAAATATCGCCATGCCTATTTTTATGCATTTAAATAAATATAATCAATAGACTCTTTTGAAGACTTCTTTTTTTATCAAAAGAGAATATTAATCATGCGTGGTTTGTTTTATTAAAAAACATATATATTTATTAGAAACATGTTATTTATGTTAATAAAAGTTGAAGAAAAATCAGACTCTAAAATATATATATATATATACATAGCTGTATTACTATAAATTATATAGGAAATATTGCTAAAAAAAAACTCCATTAGTTTTTCATTTGAATATTAGTTTATTTCCGCCTTACGTCAGATGGCGCCTTGATCCCTAAGATACACAATTGGCATCTCGAAAATGAATTCTCTATCTAGACTGTTATTAGACTAGAGTAGTAGTAGAACCAAGTACATATTCGTTTGAATTCGAATTTCTATCAAGATTTCATTTAAACGAAAAATTAGTTCATTCATTATTATATTTATTTGACAATAATTAATTAGATTATTTATTTTTTGTTCAATTCAATGTTAGATATTTTGTTATTTATCGTTAATTTAGCATATTTACATTTAAGTTAAATAACGTTCTTGTTAAAATTATTAGTAGTAATATTATATATATATATATATATTATAGTGATGGTGGAAACAGCATGCGATCCTGCTATAGAAAGACATTTAAAAGGTCACAAGGATGCAATTACCGGTCTCCACTTTCATCCTAATAATAATCAACTCGTATCTAGTAGTTTGGATAAAAGTTTGATGTTATGGAATTTAAGTGATTCAATTAGAGGATTTCAATTAAAGGCTCACAAAGATGCTGTCTTGGATGTTTGTTACGCGCCTTCTGGAGAAATCATAGCCAGTGCATCAAGAGATCGTTCTATAAGAATATGGATACCTAGTAGAATAACAGGACAATCCATAGATTTCAAAGCGCATTCGGGAGCTGTAAGCTCATTAGATTTTTGTCCAAATGGAGAACGGGTATTGTTCAAATCATATATCAATTGTTAAATATTTATCCTTGAACATTATTCTCATAGATTTAATTGTGTTTTAGTTGCTAAGCGCGTCCTATGATAAAACTTGTAAATTGTGGATGTTATGTAAAAGAAAATTTCTTCTATCATTTAATGGACACACAAATTGGGTCAGATGTGCCAAGTTTTCTCCTGATAGCAGACTTATAATATCTTGCAGCGATGATAAGACTGTTAAATTATGGGATGTCTCTACTGGAAAATGTGTTAAAACTATTAATGAAGTTAAAGGTATATTATATGTATTGCAATTATTTTTCGCATTTGAATTAATAAAACAAATGAAATAATAAAACTTCAATTTACAGCTCCAGCCTTATACGTAGAATTTCATCCAAGTGGTGGTGTTATTGGATCAGCTAATACCGGTGGATACATCAAATTATATGATCTAAGGATGGGTTCGTTGTATCAACATTATGCCATCCACAAAGGTCCTGTGAACGTAGCCAAATTTCATCCCAAAGGAAATTTTATGTTAACTGCTTCCGAAGATACTACTATGAAAGTAATTGAATTCTTTCTATACATTTACATGTAAAGTTTTGTTCTCTTTTGAAAAAGAAGTACCAAAATCTGTATGATGTCTCTTTTAGGTTTTAGATTTATTGGAAGGCCGTCCAATCTATACACTCAAAGGGCACAATGGTGCTGTTAGATCAATCGCCTTTTCTCTCAACGGAGATTACTTTGTATCGGGTGGTGCTGATTTTCAGCTTTTAACATGGAAGACTAATTTTGATAAAGATGATAACAATAGAAAAGTTCCTAGAGTATTCATACCGCCTGTCCAAGATATTAAATATGATGAAGATGAATGGTCAAGCGACACGGATACTCGAGAAGAATCAAGACATGAGAAAACTGAAGATTATGCAGAACAGGTATTGATTCTAATCTAATACATTTATATGTTGTGTTTACATTTCAACGAATATAGTGACATTTTCTTTAGTTTTTATTATCATCGCTGGAATCTGTGGAATCTAAATTTGATTCTAAAATTTGTAAAGAATCTATTCCCAAGTTACCTAATGAAAATATACAAGTCGAAGTGATTAATTTGAAAAAAGAGAGACAACGCAAGGAAAGAAAACAAGATTCTTCTTGTATTGGACAATATAAAGTACCTGATTCGTATTCTAGTCAATCTAGTAATATAATAGAAATGTTAAATGAACAAGTTGAATCATTACGAAATACTGTTCGTATATTAGAACAACGATTAAGTGCAGTTGAGAAAGAACTTAAACATAAATAAATATACACATATAAACAGAATTAATTACATCAAATAAAACAAGTTTATTACATACTAGTTAATAAATGATATGAAAATTTGTAGGTTGTAATTGTTGATAAATGAACAATTGTTGATAAATATAATTATAAAAAGTTAGAAAACTTTATTGACAAATTTTCCTTAGTTTATTTTGATCGTAACCATTTAACCATGATTATAAAAGACTGTTGTAAAAAGATCACAAAAGGGGGAGCCACGCACGTCAATCTAAATGGACTAAAAGAACAACTCATTGCCTCTATGATTGTATGTTATTAGTTATAAGTGAAATTGTTGAAAACTTGATCAAACGATTATCATCAATAATTAAGAACTTATCTTTTGATAAAAACTTGTTTGGTATATCAAGAAATAATACTTGGTGGTAAGAAAAAGAAGGAGAAAAGTAACTTTGGTGTTATATGCCACGTCAAATCTTTTATATATTTTTTCAGTGATATTATGGCGTCGCAGGTAAGAAAATTGTCATTTTATTTACTTTTTCAAAAATGTCAATTATATGAAATAATTTTCATTTAAAGGTCTACGAATTTCGAGTTGAAATGACGTGTGAAGGATGTGTCAATTCCGTTCAAAATGTTCTTAATAAAAAGGCAGGTTTGTAAGTTTTTTTTTTTTTTTTTAAATATTCCCAATGATCAAATATTTGTTAATGTCATGTAATATTGACAATTTTATTTGGTAGGTGTAAGTGATATTAACGTTAACTTAGCTAATAAAATGGTATCTGTGAAAACAACATTATCCTCCGATGAGGTATTACAAACTATCAAAAAAACTGGCAAGGAGTGTACATTTGTAGGTGTTAAACAATAAATTTGACACAAACGTTAACACACAAATATATCTAATACTATGTAATTCAAATATTATTTTCCTTCTGTTGAACTATTAAACCGTTAAATGCAATATTTAAATGGATTTATTATGGTTTTCAAAATGATAACATCTAAACAAACTTATCGAATTCATAAAAGGTAACTTAATAATGAAATATAAATTAATAAGAGTATGGTGGTGTTTTTATGTTTGTGCATGTGTATATATATTTGAAATATATTAAAAAGTACGTAATCCTTTTTGACCGTCCTCCCAAGTACTTTGGAATTAGTCCCCGCAAGAATAAAAAATCAATTGCATTAATTAGGAAAAAAAGAAAGTGAGAGGGATAATGTAAATCGTAATATATGGCAGTACATCATGTATAAACATGTTCTTATATGTGATATTATGTAAGTACATACATCCTAAGTTTTCTTACATATGTTATTTCAAGCAGATAGCAAATAAAGTTTCCGAAAAAATCTATTAAATATTAATATTCATTCATGTAATCTCAATCATCTATTTAAATTCAAATTGATGCCGTATTATAAAACAAATTACAAAAATACCAATTTTCCAAAATTTCTAATCTTATATTTCACGCACGCAACAAAACTTTATAAGATTTTTTTTTTATCTTCTTTAATAATAGACAAAAGAAAAGAAAAGAAGGAAAAAGTAAATCTTATTACTAAAGTTATTACTTGACAAAGTAAATGTCCTTTTTTCTTTTGAATGTATATTAAAAAAAGAAGTTTTAAAATGTTTTCGGATAGTATCGTCGACACAAATTTATTGGATAAATTTAAAAATGTCTTTTATTTTTCCTATATATGTATATATATATTAAGAGTAGACATTAATTTGGTGCATTTTTTACTTAATTTGGAGATTTTATTATAAATACTAGGTACAGTATTATGTTTTGTAATATTTACCGTTATTTTCTATAGTTTTTTTACCGCCTATTGGGTAACTTATAAATGTTATCCTCGTAGAATGACGGTGATTTGCTGGCTATGAAATCTTCTATGCATTTATTGGACTTCTTCAAGCAACTTGAAGCACTCCTTCGACAAATAGTGTTTTTAGGCCCTAAAAAGATGGTAGTTTGAAGAGACCAGGTCCGGAGAGTAAGCCGATAAGGGAGAAGAGAACTTCTCATCCCAAGGTATAAATAGAGTCCGTCTGACGTGCTTAAAGCAACATATGGTTGAGCGTTTTAATGTTTCGTGCCTTGTTTCGTGGTCGGTAAATGAACTACTCTTGATTTGAATTCGAACAAAAGTAATGATTGTTTAAAAAAAGGCACCGAATTAATTTCTACACCTAATATATATGATTGAAAAAAAAACCATGTTTCATAAAATGAAATCAAGTTTTTAAAAGCTGCTTCAAATGCTACCTTAAGTTTAACATTCTAATATATTGCAGAATGTAATAGATTACTTTAGAAATGAATATTTGATCAATATTGTAATCAATTGTTATGATTAGAAAAACTCGCGCGATATCAAATGTAAAATTTATATTAATAAAAAATAAGGTAATTGTTAATTGTCATCTAACTGTAGGAGATAAAAAAGAATAGAGTTATTAATCATACTCTTGATTATAATAAAATGATATTGGCAAAATATGAAATCTTAAACAATACAACGTAGCTCTTGAAAAGAATATAGGATTTAGATTTGTTTAGTTGGTCTTATCAGTGCAACTTAATTCTGAAAGAAATAAAATATTGTTCTAACGATAAAAATGATAACGTATCCATCGTCAGAGAAAACTATACGTATTTTGAACCGCTCTGCTAGTGGTCGATGTTGAACCTTGTTGCTCTGCAATGTTATGTAGTTGTTCCAGTCTTTCCAAGGACTCAGTACGTGTTCTTATAGAACCTCCATATGTGTGTACCTAATTTAATTATACACAATTATTTGATATATTCTTCTAAACACTGGTGGATAAATTCTTAAATTTTCTGGTTATCGTTAAAGATAATATAGGAAAAATACTACAAGTTAATGTTTCAATTGATCGTAATTTACCAGAAGTTTTAAGAATACACCATCATCGTATGAAAAAGCGAGCTTTTTTGCCCCACTGTCATTTCCTTTTTAGCCAACAAATGTTGTTATTAGAATAATTACATTCCAATAATATATAACTTAGACTTTTGTAGGATAGAAACATTAGCGCGCTATAAGATATTTAAATCTGAAGAAATTGTCCAAACATTCATTATAATTTCATATATTAGGATTAGTTTTTGAATGGAGACTAATAATGGTATATAAGACAATTTCTATATGCAATATATTTCAAAATTTAAATCGAATTTGGTAGAGCCATTATACTTATGAGATGAATGGAAAGAGAGCGCATCACTTTATCTAGTTATCTACTCACTGTCTGTAAATCAGACTTCAGACTGTGGGTGTTGGCCACTCGCGCTCATTCAAGAGGAGTTAGACTTCCACTGCTGACTCTTACTTCTCTGGGCTCTGGAGCTACCGGAGGTCTTCTTTCTTGCGACTGTTGCATTACGCCTATCATATGATGTTGCGTCGTTCGATAAGCAGGATTAGCCACCACGAATTCTGTTAGAGTAACATCTGCAGTTCCACCAGATTCAAGAGGTATGGCATTCTGACGAAAATGTTCTAACATATCGTATATCGCCGGAAAACAAAGGTGTTGGACACGACAATGGCCTTGATCGTTTAATGTCATTCGTAAATGCTAAAATAATAAATATCAAGGAATAATATATCATTGCAATATATTAGTAGTTATTTATTAATAGTCTTTAAAATAGAATCACCTTTGCTCTTCCCTGAAAGTTAAATGTTAATACAAATTCTCCTTTTCGTGTTTCACTTTGGCGAACAAGAAAGACACCATGGCCATTAGCAGAACTGTGCAAAACAAGCTGTGCTGCATCTGAACGTGGCAGTGTACCATGAAACCAAGGATACTCTCGTAAGCTACTTGATAAATCTAGTTCACCGTCATTTGTAGCTACTAAAAGGAAACAATAAATTCATTGAGATTTTATTCCATTATATCTATATATATACATATATAATATAATCGATAGTTAAACATGCATATTATTTCTCACATTGTTCAATTTCTTGTTGTGACGAACATAATTCCAAATTACTACTACTTTGCATACGCAATCTTGGAGGCAATTCCGGTGGATTGGATAATGCTTCCTCTGTAGTTGGCTCATGAGATGTTATTCGAGAACCTTTACTTGCTGAATTGGCCCTTAATCTATCACCTTCGCTACTAACTCCAATAGTAGAAGAGTGTCCTAAGGAATCTACTATTGAATCTCGTGTACCAGAGACAGGTGTGGTAGAATTTTGCTGTACAGTACGCATGCAGTATTTAATAGTAGCCAGCCAAGATCTCATATCATTAGAATCATGAGCTTCTATTACAAATTCCATATTTTGTGTTTTCAGAACAAATGTGTTTTCATGATCTGGCATTTCAAGTGCTGTGGTTTCTCTGGCTTCAGTTATTGCAGAACAAAATACACCGCTGCGTGGTTTGACCGCTTTTGGAGGAGAATAAAATTCTAGCATATAACCTCCGATTGCTTTTATCAATGCCAATCTAGATTTTTCCCATTTTTGAGTTCCGTCTATGTATTCCCCCATTAAAGAATTAACAATACCCTCCTTTCTACATTCAACAACAATTTTAGAAAGTTTAGTTTTTGAATGTTTATCTCTACGGTGTTCACTGTGAGACAATTCTACTTCGTCACTCTGTTGTTTGTGAAAGAAACTCTTTCCTTTTTTAAGTCCTTTAAACGACAACCGGCGAAAGAAAGGTTTGTGAACTGGTTTAGGTGATACTGTTTCACCATCGTGTTCAGAGTAATCGCTAAATTCTTCGTGCGATGAAGCACGAATCGGAGCATTGTTATTTTGAGATATGGCATTTGGATCTCTTTCAGTGAACGCTGTTTGTCGAACATCGTATGCAGTTAGTGATCTAAAAAATAGAATAAACATAAGCTTTGGAAAAGGAGAAAAAACAAGTTAACGTTAAAAATTGACAAAAGATTAAACTCGACAGACCTAACAGTACGACGTAAGTATTCGCTTTCAAAGTGTTCGCAAAAACTTTCGACAAATTTTCTAAGAAAGTCACGATGAGATAAAGTTGATCTTGCACTTTCAGGTAGATTTAGGCTGACATAAGTGCAGAAAGCTTTGGCAAAGTCAGAGGCCGAGGCACGGGCGTGTCTTTCACAAAATTCAATCCAACCATTGGCGGAATCTGGCGACAGAAGAACCGCCGACGCCGAAGCTGTTGCCGTCGTCGTTGTCGTTGTTGCTGTCGTTGCTGTTGTATCTGTTGTAGCTGTTGTTGCTGTCGTTGTTGTCGCCGTTGCTGTTGCCGTTGTCGTTACCGCCGCCGTCGTTGTCGTCGCCGTCGTTGTTGTCGTCGTCGTCGTCGTCGTCGTCGTCGATGATATCGTTACAGTCGTTCCAGTATAAACACTCATTACCGGCGTTTATACTAGCAAGTGCGAAATACATACAGGGAGGCGATTATTATTGGCCTTGTTTCTTTTTATTACAACTTGTTAAAAAACAACAGCTTCACTGCGCAGTACCTCCTAGCAAAACTCCCCTTTTTACGAATCGAAGAAATGTGTATTACCAGAGACAGTACACTTGCGCGTACACAACACGCATACATATCTATAGAAACTGTAATAGGAACGATGCGCAACCAAAGGGAAATGATTAAGCGCACATGGATCTTTATTATTTATTTTTCACCCTTTATTTTGAACAACAAAAATTCAATTATTTATTTCATTGATACTTCAATTTCATTGAAACTTCAATTTTGGATTTTTTATTGAAAAACAGTACACAAAATGTTTTCTATTTTCACGAAATATTTTTATCGACCCTTTAATCCTTGTTCCTTATATCGATATAAACCGGCCATATATAAACCGATCACACATTTACTTTTCAACTCATTTCTTCTCAAGACAGAATTATAAATGATGTCAATCTCGACAGATAAAGGTTAAACATTTTCAATCTTAATAACTTTGCGATCTGCATTTTCTTTGTTATCTCGAAATTTTCAATCATCCTTTGACGATATTACTTTCTACTTCTGTTTTCATGTATAATCGTATTTTCGATGAAAATATTTGCCCTCATTGCAATTAATCCATCGAGTTCTGAATACTAGCGCACTCTATTTGGCGGCACATATTGTTTACACGCCGCAATCATGTGAATTTTCTTTGACAAATTTATATTTTACAATGTAAAGAACCTTTCCTATATTTTATATCATTTAATTACCTTTTATTCATTTATAATTATTCACATTTATATATAATTGTATATAATAGTATATTAGAAAAATGAAATACCATTTTGTAAGATTTCCGTCGGTAACGCAACATTTGATTATCAACTGAGTAACTAGAAAGTTAGTAATTAGTTCAAACTTCAGATGGCAGTTTCAATAAAGCGAACCTTCTGCCATCTACTGGAATATATTACTATTGCTAATCTGATATTATAGTGGTTGATTTAACAGCATTCTTCATTACAAAAATTCAATTCTATATGTTTAGTGGTTAGAGAAAAGTTTTTTTTTCATAATTAATAATAAATAATTGATACAAGCATATTTGTAGGATATGTTTAAAAGTAATATCGTTCTTATTTTGTAGTGAAAAAAGAAATATAATATGGCATTGCGTACTTACGGAGATAAACCTATAAGTTTTCAAGTAGAGGAAAATGGAGAATATTATTGTATTGGCTCAGAAGTGGGCAATTATTTGCGACTCTTTCGTGGGTCGTTATATAAACGTTATCCTGGTATGTTCAGAAGGTCTATAACTAATGATGAACGTAAAAAATTAGTTGAACTTGGGTTGAGCCAGCATGTACTTGCATCAAGTGTATCACTTTTGAGAGCTAGCGAAGTAGAAGATATTATTGAAGGTAATGATGATAAGTATAAAGCTGTATCAGTGCATTCTACTGAACCACCTGCACCTAGAGAAGGAAAATCTAAAAAGTCAATGGCATGGGTACCAAGTTTGCCCAACAGTTCGCATTTAGATGCAGTACCACAAGCTACACCTATCAATCGAAATAGGGTCCACAATAAAAAAGTCAGAACATTTCCATTGTGGTAAATAATCATTTTAGTCATTGAAGATTAAGACATTTAATAATATAGAAGTTATATTTATTTTATCTGCTATAGTTTCGACGATACAGATCCTTCTGCCAATTTAGAAAACGCAGCACAACAAGAAATGTTGGTTCCCATACGTTTGGACATGGAAATAGAAGGTCAAAAATTGAGGGATACTTTTACTTGGAATAAAAATGGTACGCATTACTACATTCTTTTTACTCTTCAATATTTAATTAATTAAGTTAAAGTTAAATAATCTTTTTTTTTTATAGAAAGTCTTATAACACCGGAACAATTTGCAGAAGTATTATGCGATGATTTAGATTTGAATCCATTAACTTTTGTTCCTGCGATAGCTCAAGCTATAAGACAACAAATAGAAGCCTTCCCGCAAGAAACTATTTTAGAAGAACAATGCGATCAAAGAGTAATCATTAAATTGAACATACATGTAGGTAATACATCCTTAGTAGACCAAGTAGAATGGGACATGTCCGAGAAAGAAAATAATCCTGAAAAGTTTGCCATGAAATTATGCGCTGAATTAGGACTCGGTGGAGAATTTGTTACGGCTATTGCTTATAGGTAATTTTATTATTCATTTTGATTCATTAATATTCATTTTATTTGACATTAATAATTACACTTTATGAACGTTGTCAGCGTTCGTGGTCAATTATCATGGCACCAAAGAACCTATGCATTTTCTGAAGCGCCATTACCAACTGTAGAAGTACCATTTAGACCTCCGTCCGAAGCCGATCAGTGGGCTCCATTTTTAGAAACTTTAACCGACGCGGAAATGGAGAAAAAAATAAGAGATCAAGATAGAAATACTCGGTAAAATATTTCAATATTAAGCAACAATATTATTTCTCTGATTCGGAAAATAATTTGTGATTTATATTTCAGGCGTATGCGAAGATTAGCAAATACCACACCTGGATGGTAAATAATGTATGAACCATTATTATTTTAAATAAGGAGTAATGTTTATTTCCTATAATTGTTTATTTAGAATGGAAGACTAAACTCTATCTTTTCCTAATTCTTATTAAAAAAGAGAAAATAAAAGAAAAAAAAAAATGACAAAAGAAATGAAATAAAATGAAAAAATATAGGGGAGGAAAAAATATAAATATGTAGTAAAAAAAATGTGTCGATGTTAAGCAAAGAAATTTATATAAAACTATTTATCGATTTACTTATTTTTCTTCTTTTTCTAACAATTTTCAAGCAAATTATTACAATTTTTCTACCAATAAAACAAACACTTTTATAAAGTGATATTTTATTTAACAATTAATTATATATCTCGTCGTCTGTGAACTTTAATATTAAATAAAAGTGAATAGATCATTTGTAAATACAAATCATTTTGATCCACACAAATTATAGAATTTATTTTCATGAGAAAACTGTGTCATGTACTTTTTGCAAATAAGAGACGTTAAATAAGATAAGAAAACAATTTTATACCATATGTAGGAATTAGTTTTTTTATAAAAAACTAATTATAATTGATAAAACGTCGTCGATTTAATAAAAAAAATTCCAAGATCTTACAATGAAATGTAATATAAGTATGTAAGCAAATAAAAAAGATACGTCATCAAATTTCTTCAAGAAATATTGAAAGTCATCGGTAATAGGGGAAAAAGGATATTTATAAAAAAAAAAAAAAAAAAAAAAAAAAAAAA